AAGCGCGCTACATTGTTAGCGGACCGCTCGCTGACATGACGCGTAGCGTGTTCAAGGACGCCAAAGTCAGCTGGCAATCAATTTTTCAATAAATTGTGCCCATGGTGAATAGTGAACGTTTTATAGTGTTAATGGAGTATATTTTGATTGATATGATTTTTTTATTTCCAGAAGGTAGATTAGACATGAACATAACCTATACAGGGAATATGGAGGAACATTCCAAACGACGTGTTGCATACTATTATGACGGTTGGATTGTTGATTGTATTAAGGATGCGTTGAAAGAACACTTTTCAGGGAACATTGGGAACTACTATTATGGTCAGGGACATGTTATGAAACCCAATCGAATACGAATGACACATCATCTCATTCTCAATTATGGCATTTATAGAGATTTGGAAGTTTATGTGAGTTCGTGTCAAGTTCCTGAAGTTTGTTTTTGTGTAGAGACCTTATCCAGCATCGTTCGAGGATATGACAGTATTCCATAGTGAAGAGTATGTTCAGTTTTTGAAGTGTGCCAACCCAGATAATCTGCGCAACTTCAAACCACACATGTTGAAATGTGAGTATAGCTGCCAATCAGAAAAGGAAAGATATTCAATTTGTAGTCAATGTCGGAGAAGACTGTCCTGTTTTTGATGGGTTGTATGAGTTTTGTCAACTGAGTAGTGGAGCCTCGATAGGTATTGCATTCAGTAAAACTCTCTATCAATTTAAAATATCAAAATCTAGCTGCTGCAGTAAAACTGAATAAAAACAAAACAGATATAGCTATCAATTGGATGGGAGGCCTTCATCATGCAAAAAAAGGAGAAGCAAGTGGTTTTTGTTATACCAACGATATAGTTCTTGCCATATTAGAATTATTGAAACACAATAAGAGGTTTGAGAGAATAAGTGAATGAAATTTGAGGATTATTGAAGAGTGCTCTACGTAGACATAGATGTTCATCATGGCGACGGTGTCGAGGAAGCTTTTTTCACTACAGACCGTGTTATGACTGTTTCTTTCCACAAGTATGGAGAGTTTTTCCCAGGAACAGGGGATTTTCGGGTAATGCTGTACTTGTGAATATTTGTATCTTTTGACGTAAAATTCAAGGACATTGGTGCAGGAAAAGGAAAAAACTACGCAGTGAACATACCACTCAGAGAGGGAATCACTGATGAAGCATATCAAAGTATCTTTAAACCAGTGAGCCGAAATCGATGGTTTCAATATATTTTTATGTGTTTGAATAGATTATGACAAAGGTTATGGAGAGATTCCAACCATGTGCTGTTGTTCTTCAGTGTGGAGCAGACTCACTTGCTGGTGATCGATTAGGTCCATTTAATTTGACTCTCAGAGGTTGAGTTCAACATAAAAAAAGCTATTTTGAGTTTTTTTAGGGCACGGGGAATGCGTCTCATTTTTTCGGAAGTATAACATTCCATTGATGTTGGTCGGTGGTGGTGGTTACACACCAAGAAACGTAGCCCGCTGTTGGGCCTACGAAACATCGCTGGCAACAAATAAAGAAATTCCCAACGGTATCACTCTGAAAATTCGGTCAGATTAATCTTTATTCACAGAAATACCATATAATGACTATTTCGAGTTTTATGCACCGCATTATAAACTGCATTTGGCTCCATTAGGTAGAGCTAATATGAATAGTGTCGATTTCATGCAATTTGCATTGTGAGTTGCACTCTCTACTTCGAACAAGATTTGTTTTTCTTTCAGAGAGAAAGTGATGGACAATCTTAACAGTCTAGCTTTTGTTCCTAGCGTTCAGATGCAACGTGAGAAGAATCTGTTTGAAATGTATTGTTTCTTATTTTTAGCTCTTGAAGAAGATTTCCAGCCTCCCTTTAATGATCCTACAGTTCTCTCGGATTATGTAAACCCTGATTCCCGTCTTCATCGTATGCAAAGATTGCGTAACGTTCTCAAAATGAGTTTTTCAGCTTCTATTATGGAAAGCTTAACAGATGATGTGGGTGAATATTATGACGGAGAGCAAGAAGGTGATGATAGGTTAGTCAAACAATCTTTCAGAAAACAAAAGTTTTTTAAGGAGAAATGAGTACAATGCTAAGAGATCAGCTGAACGAAACGACAGTAAAGGTTCCCCGGTGAAAAAGTGTAGAGAGGCTCACGGAAAGGTATAGAGACGAGATATCACAACAGACACTCTAATTCCAGAGATCCAAATAACCCGGAGCTTGTTATTGTCAAACACAGTATCTTTTCATCATTCTCAAAGTTTTTTTTGGTTTCTTTTAAATTTATTACGATTTGTTTTTTCCTGTTTTCACCGATACTCACATATGAAAGTTTTACAATTGTATCTTCAGTCATACATGACTTATATCTCAACGATCTCGCATTGTTTTAAAACATTATTCTATTTAATAATAATAAACTGAATCAAGTTTTTA